TTTTAATATTTGGAATATATTTATAAATCTATCTTTTAAGCTAATATAATATCCTAGTCTACAATTAAAATCTAATAGTCCCCACATAAATTACTTTTTATTTCACTAATTATGGACCTTTCAAAATTTTAATGTCTAATATTACATAAAAATGCATATATATATATATATATATGTCTTGTCATTTATCAAACAACGGTGTAATTTATATTTGTACACTCTCTATATAGATATATTTATACTTATTATCTTTATTATTTTTTAATATATTTTCATAATTTATTAAATTTATTTCTCCTACATCATATTCACAATTTTTAATTTCAATACCTCCTTCATTCTTTCCCATACATTTTTACTTTTTAATTTGAATATTGATTTTTGATATATTTTGTCTTTTCCTATTATTGGTAATATCCTTTTTTTTTTTGGGTATGTCTTTTTCTTGAGAATTTTCTATGACAAATTGTTCTCCTCTTAAATTTTCTATACTTATTTATTCTATCATCATAAAATCAACAATGATTCATCCCCCCTTTGACCCCCTCTCTCTCTCATTGGTTACATTTTCTTTTTCTTTTTCTTTTTTTTCCTGCTCCTCCAATCACCACCCGCCACGTGACAAAAGGGGGTGAGGGGGTGACCCCCAAAAGGGGGTCTCAAGCATTATTCTCATAAAATTTAGCTCTTTATCTGTATCGCTATAATCTTCGTCTTCTACTTCTATTTCTATTTCTTTTTCAATTAATTCTATTATTTCCTTATTATTTTCGAGGGCCAATTCTAATGCTTCTTCTTCTAACTCTACATAACCCAAACTTTATAAGGCTTCTATTATTTTGTTATTTTTTCTTATTTCTACATTGATTAGCAAAATGATCTATTTCCCCACATGCCCAACATTTACAAGGGTTTTTTTCTTTTTCCTTCTGAGCAATAATTATTTTTTCTAAAAAATCTTCTTCTTTTGTTGAAATTATAGGATTTTTTTATAATATTTTCTTTCATATTTTTCTCCTCTTTGTTTATTAAAACTTTTTTCTTTTATAAAATGTTTTTTTTTTCTTATTGTATGTTTTTCTTGTTGAAGACTCACAACCCTATGAATTAGATATTTGTCAGCAATGTAAATAATATATTTTTAATTTTTTTTCTTTATTTCATTTTCATGCATTCCAACTTTACCCATTCTCTTATATACCTAATTCTATGATCCAAAGTGTCGCTTGTGGTATCTCCTAATTCTTTTAACCATTTTTTTTTTCTATATTAACATTTATAGGATATGGTAAATTTATGAAAAAACATAGTTAAATGAATTTTATTTCTCCCTATTTGAGAGTAGTAATAAGAGTGTTCACATATATAATTTTCTATATATTCCATATTCCATATTTCTATATTACTTAATTTTCTAATACATTCTCTTTTTCTTTTATCCTCATCACACTCTTTTTTTACGAATTGATCTTCATTATATTTTATAAATAGGTTTAACATACCTTCTGGGATAGTTTCTGCTGTTAATTTTTCTTTATCATTTTTTCTCAAGTTATCATATCAGCTTGCTACTATACCCGTAAAGTTATGTTCAATATAATTTAAAAAACTTTACTCCAGCTTCTGCTATGAATATTTAAGACATGGTGAATGCCTCTCTTCTATTATTTTATTACCTCACTTGTATTTGTAGCACAATCAATGTCTAATAAATATCCTGTATTACTTATTGGATTGAATGATACATCCCTTAAAAATACTTCATTTCTAGGGGTAAAGTTTGCATAATCAAATGTTTCCCTAGCAAAAGATTCTCTATTTAAATAACTGTAATGTTCCGTTCTTCTTCTATAATCATAATCTCTAGTATCATTTTCCAGTTGTTGTCTGGTAAAATTTCTAAAATCTGATTTGGATTAGGTGGGGTGGATGAACTACTCCCTTTTTGTTTTATCATTGTCATTTTAGTATCATTAATGTTATTTGTTTCTTCAAAATCTTCCAAGATATTATTTTTCCTTTCTTTTTTTGCGTCACTATTTCCCATTATTTGTTCTAAATCTTCATAGGGAATGTGTTCCATTTCTCCCAAATTGATTAATCCTAATTGTTTATATATATGTTCTTCTAATTCTATTATGTCATTATTTATTTCTTCTATTATTTCTCTATCTAGCATATCTAATTGTGCAGCAATTTCTAATATTGTTTTGTATTTTATTTCATTATCATTTTCCTTTTCATCCATTTTTTCTAACTGTTTTAGGCTATAATTACTTAACTCAATTATCTTTTTAGTTTTCCAGTGGAACTAATTCAAATGATTCTTCTGAATTATTTCCTTTGTATATGTATGGATATAGATCTAATTCTTTTTATTTTTCTTCAAAAATAGGTACTTGTTTTTCTGGATTTGGTATAAAATGTCTAATTTTGTTTATTATTTATAACTGATTAGTTCTAAGTTTTTTCATTAATTTCTTTTAATAGCTTAATTAAAGTATTATTTTATTCTATTATTATTTGTAAAGAAGTATTATTATTTAAGTTATTAGATTATATTTCTTTATTAAATTTAATACTCATGCAAATGTTATTGGCCAGGCCAAGAAATTGGATTCTAATTCCAATTTTAATAACGGATATTTGATTTGAGGATATTGTGAATTTAATTTTAATTTAAGATTAACTCTTGCAAAAAAAATTCGTTGATAATCTAAGCTTACCTTTTCTAAGGATATTTTACTTTTAATACTAACAATTCTTTGACTATAATCTATTACCGATTGTCCAGAAGAAATAGCCAAAAGAGAGTTTAATCTACTTAACTCTCTTTTTAATTCAAAAATATAGTGATTAAATGCATAAAAATACTAATTCTATGGAAATATATATATATTTTTTAATAAAAGTAATGCTAGGGATCATAAAAAAATATCATGAAAATGATCATGAAAGATTCTCTATCTTTGGATTATACATATAATAAAACACCACACACTAATTAAATGATGAAAAATCTTCATGATGCATTTCATGATATTTTTTTCATGATCCATAATATTACTCTTTTTTATAATAACTATTTATGCTTTTGTAATTGTTTTCAGGTTTTTTCGGGTTACTTTATAATAATAGAAAACTTTGGCTGATGAGGATTGATGAATTCGATTTCAATTGATATGTCCACTGGGTTTTGAGCCAATTCGGGCATTGCTTTTTCGGGCGATCGGGAATTAGTTGAAGATTTAACACATTGAATGAAGATTTAACATTTCGTTTAAAGAAAATAATTTATAAATAAAATTTACAGTTTTATAGTGGTAAAACCACCGTTAAACATTTTTTATTACATAATGTCCGTAAAAATATATTTATGAGCAATGGTAGAGGGCCACAAAAAATGTGGCTCAAATGGCTCAAAACTGCCAAAACGACGTAATCTTCCTTCAATATTTTTCATTTGTTAAGAAGTGTGCATATTTTTTATTAGACAATTTTACATTTTTTATTTTGAAATATCTAAATTTGAAAAATGAATCAAATTTTTAACAAATTTTTTTTACTGAAATTTGATAAATTTTTTTATAAAAATGTAGGATTGGAGATCATTTTTAAAATAAATTATCGAATAAATTATTTTTCAAATAAATTTGATAAAAAGAATTGATTCTCAGCATTAAAATGAGTTTATATATAAAATTTTGATATAAATTGTTGAACAAATCTAATGGGAAAAAAAAGTAAATTACAAATACATTATTTGAGATTTTCTTAAAATATAGATGGCCTTTGTAGTTTGAAAATTTACAAATATCCATTTTTCAGAATTTTTTATTTAACAGGATTAACTGACAAAAATAAAAATTTTAACTGTTCTTTTATACAATAATAAAATTACCTAAATTATTAATTGAAATAAATTTTTAATATCATTAAAATTTGTTAATTAATTTAATAATTTATTAATAAAATGAGTTGTTTATTATAAAATTAAAAATTTCAAGGGGTGAGATGCAATTTCTAGAAATACAATAAGTAATTTATATTTTAAACAAACTTCAAAAAGTATATTTGTAATTTATCAAAAAAATTAGTGAAAGGAAAGGGGAGGCTCTTTTTGCATTCAATGAATTTTTTTTTATTACTGTTATATTCTTATTTAAAATGATCAAAAGGTGCTTAATATTAAAAAAAGTATAAATCAAAGTATTTTGGCACTCCATTCATAATCTCAATCTTCCCTTATATCTTCTCTTTTTGTTGTCTTCACTTTCATACTCAACCCTATTTTGTTTGAATTTATTATTCTTGTATTTTATTTCATATTGAAGTCAATAATAGACAACAGAGAAATCATTTTCAAGAATTTTTTTTTTTTAATAGAGAAAGTAAGTTTTCTACTCATATTCATTGTTTTAACTATTGGTTTACGAAATTTTTTCAAAAATTCAATACCAAACAAATTATATTTATTCAGAAACTTATTTCTAAAAAAAAAAAAAGTCATATATCCAAACAAACCATCTATGTTCAGTTATGTATTCTGAACATTTAAATTTTTAGTTGTTTATATTCCAATTTAAAATTAAAAGAGTTAACCGATATTTTATCTTCAACCAAATTACATATATTTTGAAACTTATTTCTAAATAAATTCAATTTGGAAAAAGGAATAAATTACAAATACACTCCTGAGATTTGATTAAAATATGAATCGTCTTCTATAATTTTAGAAATTACATTCCACTCACTGATGTTTCTAATTTCATAACAAATCACCTTTTTATTAATAAATCATCAAATTAATTAATAGTTTTTAATGATATTAGAAATATATTTCAATTAAGAATTTATGTAATTTTATTATTGTATAGAAAAAGAATTATGAATTTTATTTTTTAATTAATTATGTTAAATAAAAAAATAACAATAAAACATTTGTAATTTTCTAAATCTTTTATTAAAGGAGGTGGATTTATAATTTATGCTAAAAATAAAATTTAGAATATTTGGATTTTAAAGCCCCAGGTTAGCAGCGACGACCAGTGGCAGAAGCTTGACTGCTTGATCGTGGTCGTCGTCCATGGAAACAGCTCCTGAAGGATACAGAAGAAACGCTGGCATTTGTCTTATCAACCCTTCCAAAAAGGTCACCACCACATTAACCCAATACACATACTCTCTCACTCTCTCTTTCTAGAATTTCTATCTCTTTATTTTTGTGTACAATTTCGAATTTGTGGAATTTGAATTCTGCAGATTTTTGCTGCTTCGAGGCTCGATAATCACTTCTGGCAGATGCCCCAGGTATTCTTCAAAATTTCAATTCACTTCTTCAATCGCTTTTTTGGATTTTTGCATCCGAATTATGTATATCCTACTTTCAATTTTGTTTTGATTGTTCTTCAACAGTTTACAATTTCATAGCCTTTTTTTTTTTTCTTTTTTTTCTTTTTCCCTTATAGATTTTCCCTCTTTAATAACAGATTATAATAGATTGGAATGCACCATAGCTAAACATATTGGTCTCCCAAAAATTGCTGTAATTATGAATGGATGCTATTTCTTCTCTCTCTCTCTCTTGACTTTATTGGATATTTTTCTCTCTTTTGTGTAAATATGTGAATGCTTGAACAGGGTGAAAAAAACAATTATGATATTTATAATGGACAATTAGTGTGTAAACCCAACGGGTTGGCTGAGTGGTAAAGACTTGTAATAAGATCTAAGGTCTCAAGTTTGAGGGACCACTAGAGGTTTAGCCGGTCGTTAATTTTAGGGCATTGATATTAATTGAGGTGCACGCAAGCTGGCTTGGACACATAGTTATCATAAAAAAAAATAATAAATAAATAAAAATGGACAATTGGTGTGTAGTCCATAGCTGTAGTTATAGTCAGTCTCAAAGCTTAGAAATTATTCAGTACCCATCATTTTTGTGTTGAAGTTTTAGAAGACAATATGAGACAATGTGCAAGTAGGGCTCAAGGCAAATTTAAAAAATGAGACTTTTAGGTTGTGTTTGATTGGGGGATTTGGAAAGTAATTTGGAAAGGGAAAGGGAAAAAATAGGTGAAACCCTTTCCATATCCCTTCCCAAGTGAGTCTAAATCCTTTGCCATGTTTATCTGTGGTGGTTCCTATAGTGGTGTCAAAACGTCGTCGTTTTGGCACTTTTTTTTTTTTTTTCTTGGCTTCTCTCTCTTACACTCTATTCCCAAATCTGAGAGAGACCACAAGGGCGATGGAGAGTGGGAGAAAGCAGTTGATGGAAACCGGCAACGGAGAGCGGCAACAGCGACCCCCACGACATTCTACAATTTAGGCCTCGTTTGGCAAGTGATGATTTTAACCAAAAAGTTAAAAAGTTACTAAAGAAACCAAAAAGCCAACAACCTATACAAAAAGTCAAAGATTCCCTTTTCTCTACTTTTTGCACATCTTTTCGTAAAAAATAAAAAAGTCATCCCAAACATACTAATTTTTTTTACATCATATTTTAGTTAAAATGTTACTAAAAAAACCTGTTCCCAAACGAGGCTATTACCAAATCTGAGATGGCACTGTTGGTTTCTTCTAGATGAAACAATGAAAACAAATCTAAATCACAAAATCATAGAACCAAAGTCGTGGTTTTGATCAAAAGTCCCCTTCAGTTTTGATTCACGAAAACAAATCCAAATCTGATTTTGATTAGCAAAATCTGATTTCTTTGCTATGTGACAGAGTCACTTTGTTCATCCTCTTCACTACACTCTTTATTTCTTTCTCTCAATCGAATCTAGGTTTGGGTTCGGAAACTAACGAAGGAAAATGAGGCGAGGATGGCTATGTTGAATGTAATCCTACACTTGAAGGTTTTGAACCAGTAATGGGTTCCAAAAAAAAAAAACCAGTAACGGGTAAAGGATGTAAATCCCAATCTTTCTCTAAGGTAGAAATCTAAGCTACCACTTCATATATGTATATATATCATAACTCTAGGACTCCAATCAATCACAATTTCTCACCATGAGTCTCCAAAAAACCACTCTCTGAACACAAATTAAACTCAACCCATCAATTTCACTTGACAATGCACCAATTTTTTTTAATGAAAACACTAACTAACGAAGAAATTGGTTTTTTTCAATTTCTGGGTTCATAGCTTTATATTCAATTTCTGGGTTTCATAGCTTTAGAAATTGGTTTTACTATTTGTTTCCATTTGATTGTTCATGCATCTAAACCAACTTGCAAGAGGAGACTGAGTTTTTTCTATTATGGAGGAGCCATATCTCTCTTCCTTGTGCAAAGAAACCCTAGATTGAAATCATAGTAACAACACTCTAATCAAAATGAAAACATAAATCCAAGAAGAGGATGAAGCCCTTTTTTTTCAGAGGTTTTGGCGGCTGTGACGACGACGATGGTAGCTTGAGTGTTTTCCGACGAGGTAGGGAGGCGGAGGGTCTCATCGATGATGCTGGTGATTCCTCTTCCTTTTCCTTCCTTCTTTTTCTTCTCTGTGCTTTTGCTCTTTTTTTATTTTATTTTATTTTTTTTAAGATTTCCACCAAAACGACGTCGTTTTGGAGGCACTACAGGAACTACCGCAGATAACCATGGCAGAGGATCCAGATTCTTCCCAAATCTTCCAACCAAACATATGTAAACACAATTAGATTTTTTTTTTGCTTGTACTGACACAAAATTTGATTGCATATATAAATACTAAAATTACTAGTTTTTTTTATCTGTGCTATGCACGAAAATTATTTAAAATATTAGGTAATAAATCTAATTGTAAAATATTGTATTAGCAAAAAATTCAATTATAATTTGTTTTTCACAATAATTATAATATTGTATTTTCTAGGTAATTTCATAAGATTTTTATAATTGAATAAATCATAATAACTAATTGAATGTAAAATTAAATCAATTTCAGCTTTAAAAAAATTATTTCTCAAGAGGCAATTGTAACTGGTATAGGCGACAATATTCTATAAACAATTCGTATATTTAGCAAATAACCATTCATTACTATTGGAAAGTTCATCACTTCAATTATTATTTATTTTTAAAAAAAAAATTCAGTGAAACTTCATTTTTAAACTACTAATACAATAATGTAATGTTTGATTCACTGGAACGAAATTGAATGAAATGGTCATTCCTTAGCCTCTCTATAGAATAACTATTCTCTCACAATAGTGAATGATGATTTTATTTGTACTTTTTTTTTTTTTCATTTTTCTAGTGAACTAAACAAAAAAATGAACATTATGATGGAATGATTATTTCATTTCAGTTCATTTCAATGAACCAAACCTAACATAAGAACTAAATCATTTGGGGCCCCTCTTTTTTAGACAGAATTTGGGGTCCCGAGGAGGTTGCCTTGTTGGCCTTACCTCAAGGCCGGCCTTGTGTGCAAAGTGTTAATTAGTAAGTGGAATGGGGCATTGCTCCAAGAACATTGAATAATTTCTCCTCAAAACCTGCATTAATTGTTAAAATTGAGATGCCCAGTAGACAGCAAATGTATTATGACATTTATAAAATCTTGTATGGCATGTGTTTTCTTTGTTGGGGAAATTTGGTTTTCTTGTATATGAGATGGAAAAATGTTATTTTCGGTGAACAGGGTGGCATTGGCGAAAACGAGGATCCAAAAGATGCAGCCGTAAGGGAATTAAGAGAAGAAACAGGGATTACTTCAGCTGAATTTCTTGCAGAGGTTTGAAATGCATTTTAACTTTTTTTGGGTTGATTTGTTATTTTCTTTTGGTTAATTCCTCTAACCCCATGTTTGGTTCCCAAGAAGATTGTCAGTAGATAAAATAAAATTCTCCGCAGACTATTCCTTTTGTTTTTGAGGTAATTGTTATATTGCATCTTAGATTCCTGTGGAACTTTTCTAATCTTAGAAAAAATTAAATTTGAAAAACATTCAAGGCTAAACTCTTGTTGGTGTAAACATAAATAACTTAGTTTTTCTCTTCCTTATGCTCACTCGTGCATACATACACAAATCGGGAATTTTTTTTTCTTTTGTGCATAGATTCTTTTGTTTTGGTGATGCTGTAGTACTTTGGTGGTCTTTGTGGTATATTATATATTACATTTATATGGAATGCATAGATTGTGCTACCATGCTCATTGATGCCCTTTTGTGAATTACTTTACTTATGAGGGCAAAAAAAGTAAAATTGAAGACAGCTATCCTAAAATGGAATATTAATGGATGTTATGACTCATAATGTTGATTCATGATTGCTACCATCTCCTTTCCAATTGACTTGCTAGAGATGGTCAAGTACATGTAGGATTATTTAATCTCAAGGTAAATAAACAACTGAAAATTTGTTTATATATATTCTTTTATTTTGCATTAAAATCCACTTTACCTCCTTGTAGTTTGGTTCCGGAGCACTTTACCCCCATATCATTCAAAAATTGCCAAAGGGGCCTCATGTGGTTTTAGACTAAAGTGCAAGCATTACATTTTCCGTCCAAATTGACAAAAATTATGCCATACGCACATTCTTTGAGAGTTTGCAAGAAAAAGTGATTAGTCACAGTCGAATTCTAATGCAAAAATACAATATTACCCTTAACTTCATCTTTCTCACTAACCCATGAGAAAACCTTAACGATATCCTGATCCCAATCCCTAACCCTAACCCTATCCCTAACTCAACCACCACTCCCACCAGCCACCTTCCCCATGCCATCCCACCTCCAGTCACCTCCTTCCCACCTATGCCCTACCCCCAATCATCTCCTTCCTATCCTCAAAGGTAGCAGAATTCTCACTATAAATGTTTTAATATTATTCCACAGTGACAGAGATGCAAGCTGATGGTGAATTTTGTACTGGAGTAATCAAAGGTTTGCTCACCATATGAAATGCCATTACACAATATGAATTTAAGAAAATCCTTGCCGACTAATTAAGTGGAAGTAAAATAGTAAGGCATAATCTGTTCTTCCAACCTCAATCACGATTCCTATTTCATAAAACCAAATAGACCCAAACATCTAGCTTCGTTGTTGACACTGTGACATTAATCATTTGCATAAACAGTTTCCCTAAACCCAAATTCCCCAATGAGCAATGCCATCAATTAAGTTAAACAATTACAAAATAGGTTAAAAATTGAAATTAGGATTATTTGAGTTAATATATCGTTCAATTGGTTAATAAGTGATTAAGTTAAAAAAATGTATAACAGAAGAGAGAAAAGGAAGGTAGAAGAGGGTCATTAAGATCATTTTTTACATGTTAACGGAGTTAGCATTCCATTTTAGCCCAAAACCACATGAGACCTCTTTGGCTATTTGTAAATGATAAGGAGGTAAAGTGCTTTTGGACCAAACCCCAAGCGGGTAAAATGGATTTTTCCGTTCAATTTATGCGTCATAAAAAAAGTATATTGGAATTTGGTAATGAGTTGTCAGTTGTTACAAGGGTTATAAAGGATAGATTAGGAAACTACAACTGTGATGCTTGTTAAAGAATCTTAATGACAATTATGAGGTGATGGTTAAGAAGCTCTATTGACTGAAGCTTGTTTTTTGTTGAGTATTTTTTTTATTTTTTATTTTTTATTTTTTGGGATAAATAAATTTTATGACCAAAAGCATCAAGAAGATGCTAAAGAATACAAAACCAGAAAAGTAATCAAATCATCAACAAAATCCAACAAAGCAAACACATTCGAATCCACCCACTCAGACACCCAATTATACAAAACTTGGAAAAACCTATTCTCTAAACATGACAACGAACAAGCAACGCCCTGAAAAGTACGACGATTCCGCTCTAACCAAACCAACCACATCAAGCACAAAGGGGCCAAAGCCCAAGCTTTCTGGCGCCTCTTCCCGACCCCCTCCCCAGCTACACAAAACCTCCCTCACCCCCTTTTGTTGGACCCACACCAATCCAAAAGTCAAAAAAATACGTTCCCATAGACAAGATGCCACCGGACAATGAATGAACAAATGTTCCACCGACTCTACGTCACCACAATACAAGCACCAATTTACCATAATATCATGGCGACGAACTAAATTATCCCAAAAATTGTTGTCCACACAAAAAAAAGCCACCTTTGATACCTAGCACCCAAACACACCATCAAGGAAACTCCTCATCCCTATCCCCATCCCCACTCAAGACCCAATAATAAGACGAAACTAAAAAAACAAAAACCCCTTTTGAACCCCCCCCCCACAAAATAACATCTTCCCCCACCCCCCAACTTGCACCCCATAAAAGGAAACTCAATAAATCCTCCAATTGCCCAACCTCCTAGTCCTGTTGAGTACAATGTTCTCATCATGGAATCATTCATGGAGTTTAAGAGTGGTCATGTTCTAGAGCTTAGCAAAATGCAAATGATCTTGCTAACCACCACCCGATGGTCATTGGTTAAGCTTCACATAATGCCAAAAAAGTTATAATTGCCATTCACATTTCACATATTTTCATACACTTATACATTCACTTTATACATATTTCATTCAGTACACTTTTTACATATTTCCCCACTTTAAGCAACACCCATTGGGCTGTCTTTAGCATTTCCCAAATACACCACCTGTTAAAATTCACCTACTACACACCTACCACTACCACCTACTACACACTCACCTACTTCACCTACTCTCCACCTACTCCTCACCTACTCCATACCTACTACACACTCACCTATTCTCTTCCCACATCCTCTCTTCTATATATAGGAATCATTGTAATATATCAATATATCAATCAATAATAATACATACAATTTATCACAACAGCGGGAGAGATTGATGCAGATGTGGCCCATAGGATTAAGGCGGGATGGTGTAAGTGGAGAAGTGCGTCTGGGGCA